CGCCTTGTCTCCGCCCCGCTGGAAATGCCTCCAGCCGGAGTGCGCTGTTGCTCTCCACCCGGCGAGAAATCGACACTCAAATTATTGGCTTCTTCGAGAGCCCGGACTGGTTTTGAGCGCCTGAGTCGCTTAACAGGACGCGAACCGAATGTGTGACCCCACCAATGGATTGCTCTGCGAACGAGGAATCCAATGGTGGGGTTACACGCTCGGTTTCAGTCCTACTTAGCGACTTAAGAGCTCAAAACGCGTCTGGAGTTTTGGCGGCCTCCTCCGGACTTCTGGTGCACTGTGCGATTGTCGACGTAGGATTACGTCATGAGGTCATCAGCGACTTGGTGCAGACGCGTTTGCGCCAAATCATGGGGCATACACTGCAATTCATCAGGAAAAGATGGGAACCTCGAGGTACTTTCATGAGTAAGTTTCGGTTTTCCCCACTCTAAATGTCTTACAATGAACACTGTTAAAAAAAGTCTGAAAATTCAGACCAATTTTTTCACACCTAGTGGTCTGAATCTGAAATTCAGACTTAAGTCAGAATTTTCAGATAGTTGGTCTTAATTTTACACCTTGTGGTCTGAAAAATGAGTTTCGGACTCAAGAGTCTGAATATTTGGATGGCGCGGTATAAATTTTCGGCGTCGGGGTCTTAAAACAGTCATTTGTAGTAGAAGGTCTGAATTTTCATCCTGCGCAGGCTGAAATTGACGCTTTATTTTCTGATAAAAGGCATGACTGCGTTTCAGGTGCTATGGACCCTGAATTGCTAGAGCAGTAGTAAATGAACTTTTTCTCAGCTAAGCGAACGGCCGTCTAGTGTTGAGTTTAAAATCGGCCTGCACTCCGCTGGTAGCTGCAGGATGCGACATGTTTGCCCTGGTTCCGGCATGGACCGAAGCCCGGGTCACCCGAGCCGAGCCGCTCCGGCGGCGGCCAGCCGAGCCAGGCACACCGAGCCGAGCCGGGGCGTTCGGAAAATCACCGCTGACCGGCGTGCCGGCCGAAGCCTACCTGCGCAGGGCGGGGGGAGAGGAGGGGGCCCTTAATCCCTCGGCCACTCGGGATTTCTGGACAGAATGCGTCAGTTTTAGCTTGTCTCCAGAGCAGTGCACATCGCATCCGAATACAAGTCCGCGTCGCGTGTCATCTTTCTTGTGACGCTCCGTCGTGAAGCAAAGTTTTATGTGTTACATCGGCGCTCAGCGCAGTGTGTACAGTGCCGTTTTGCCTTCGCCTTTCTGTGCTCCAAAATTGCTTCGGGTGCGTGCAGTCACCACTCTGAAGCATCCGAAATCCGCGGCAAGCAGGCTGTGAAAGTGGCGTAGCCTTATACTGATATTGCGTCTTCCAAACTAAAGGGACGGGTGATGAGGGAGTGGGTGGCGTTTTGGAAATTTGTCACTCCTCTTTCATCCTCGTCCCCAAAGTATTTTCATTGTGCCGAAAAAGTTTCCACAAAGTGTGCATCTGGATCCAACATGCTGCTTTCCAGTGTTTACAGCTGCATCTTCTGGAGTCTTACATTCGAGGACTAGTTTTTTTGTTTGGGAAGCTCTCTTAGCAAAATATCATATCTAGTTAAAGTTTTGCGCAAGTTTGGGTGCTACATTTAACAAAAAGAGCTGTTTTACAACTGCTCTATTTAGTGCATGCATTCCATGTTTCTCAGCAATTTAAAACATGCATCTCCAAAACATAATATACATCCTAACAAAAGTGGTAATTTTATTACCTGGGCGGCTTAGAATTCAAACCCGCGAGGTGAAAAATTCAGACTGCCATTAGTCCGAAAATTCAGACTACCTGGTAGTCGTAAAATTCAAAGCACATGCTACAGTCAGCTCTGGTTAGCTGTCCCGACAACCGGGAGGCGCCGAGGACAGCTAACCAGAGGCCGGGCAGGTAGGGCCCGGGTAGGCCCAGCCGACTAGGGACCGGGGATAGCCGGTAATCCCTCGCCGGCCGGTGGTGGTGGGGATGTCTCTGGGACAGCTAACCAGGGGCCAACTCGGGACAGTTAACCAGAGCTGACTGTAGTCTGAAAATTCAGACGACAGGTGGTCCAAAAATTCAGAGTGTCCGGAGGTCTGAAAATTCAGACCACTGGGTTTCAAAATTGACTTCATCCTAAAAAGTCTGAAAATTTCGACTTTTTTTTTAACAGTGAAATTTGACCTATGTTATTCGTATGTTACAATGAATTCGGCGCAAGCATAATACGAAGCAATATTCCTTCGTAATACGAATCTTTTTACCTTTTTCATTGTAAGATACAAAGAAAAACCTTCGTAATACGAAGAAAAACCACCTTCGTATTATGCTTGCGCCATTCCCTTCGTAATATGGGAAACTTCTTCGTAGGGGTAGGTTGGGTAAGAAAAGTACACTCGAGGCTCGGGTAAGAGAAGAACACCCGTTATATCTCCGAACTGAAACTACACTGAACCATCACGTTAGTGGTTTTAGAAAGATTGGTCATCCCGCTGACAAAAAATAAATTAAGCCCAGTTCTACATATAATATTTAGAATCAAACTGCACGCTTGAAAAAAACATTAAAAATAACTAAGAAAATCTTTTTTCAAATGTTTGTACTTTGAAGTACAGCTTCCTGCAGAATCAGCCGACAGTCCAATGTAAGGTACCACCTTTTAGCTTAGACCATCATCTTTGAAAAACAGTGCCGTTTGATGCTCTTAGGCTTCAACACAATTTTTTATAAGTGTTAAAATGAAATGGGGAAGAAAAGTACAGTCGGCTGGGGAAGAAAAGTACAGTCGGCTGGGGAAGAAAAGTACAGGCATTGGGGAAGAAAAAAACACCCTCTAAGAAACTAAAAGCGGGATGCAAATTGAATTGATCACGGAAATAGATTTGATTAGGCGAGACAAGCAAAAAATGTCAACACAAGTTATAGAATTAGACTTGAAATAAACAAGTTATTGGGCATTTACGTGAAAAGGGGAAGAAAAGTACAAAAATGCCGTACCCTTTTATCTCTGAGAAACGGCTTCTTGGACCTTACGTGATGAGTCCATGCAGAATCAGAACCAATTGACCGATTTTGACGAAACTTGAACTAATGGCAAGTGAAAGTTCTCCACTTTAGGGGTAAACCTGTATTGAGCCAAGATTGGTGGTCTCCTGGTTCGATATCGCAATTCTTTCCGGTGTTCTTTTCTTTCCCGGTGGTGTACTTTTCTTACCCTTTTCGAGGAGTTCCGAAATCACATACATTTTGGCATGTTGTACGTAATGTCGGGAACTATTATCAATGAACAGTGATCCATTTCATTAGGAAGGCATTGGATTACAAGTTCACGAGAGCAGAATATTTGAATCCTCATTTGGAACTTCTGTACAGTGCAAAGTACGCGTTTTGTACTTTTCTTCCCCAACCTACCCCTAAGACATTTAGAGTGCCGTCTGAGACTTGTAGAAATTCTTGTGTTGAAAAAAAGAAGTGTGTACTAATGTAACAAAATCATAAGGTGCTCTGGCTTGACAAAGGACTCAATTTTTCACTGCCCGCAGTTATGGGCTGACGCCGGTGCAAAGCCAGTGGTAAGTTTGCTTGCCACTAAATTGGCAAGCCTTTTTGAATGCTGAAAATTGGTGAGCTTGGTCCGGAAAACTCTCCAGCTTACCAATATTTGGCAAGGTCATGAAGATTTAAGGTCGAAGCCTGTCAAAATTTGACAATCAAAACGGCTTGCCAAATTTGTGGCAAGTAACCTTACCACTGGCTTTGCAGTGGATTCCGAAGGCTTCCACATGCTGGTTGATCTATTGATTTTTAAGGACCATTCTCTCTATTTGTTCCAGAGGATCGAAGCAGGAGCGAACAGTTCCAGGCAGACTAGGACATCTCCAAAATCCTCTTCGAAGAAACCGGCTTCCTAAAAGGTATGTGTGGTCACTTGGGGTAATTTTGGTACACCGGGTACAGATAAAACAGCTGTTTCCTGGGCACGAGTTGACAGTTCAGAACCAAATTTAGGAGCGAATGAAATTAATGAATCAGGTCACACCAAATGATATTTTCAGAATAAAAACATAACACTTGGTACCGCACGATGTCTAAAATGTCAAATATCGTCGAGCAAACACTTGTACCAGTTTTACCCCATGTCCCAAAATTACCCAGCATTGACCCAAGTGCAACAGAGTGCTACTGCGTGGGTCGGCGTTAGCACAGCGATTACAAATGGCGCACCGTGTTGCAGGTTGCCTCTTTGGACCATGGGTGCTGCACCGTTGCCACTGCCTCATGAACAGTTTAGCGGTCGGCCTGAGAAGAAGCCTCATCAATGCGCGGTTTGCAGAAAAAAGTTTGTTTTTCCAAGTCAACTTCAATATCATCTCGTAACTCACACGGGAGAGAAACTACTTAAGTGCTTCGTATGCAATAAAAAGTTTGGATTTAAATCTGGCCTGAAACGACACTTTAAGACTCATTTGGAGGAAAAGCCTTTAGAGTGCAAGGTTTGCAGCAAGAAGTTAAGTACAGGAGGGAATCTCAAAAGGCATCTTGTTACCCACAGGGCACAGTGGGCCAGGAAGCCTGTTTAGGCGGACATAATTCCATTTTTTCAACTCTCGAATCTTTAAGTTTATTTTCGTGATAACTCTTCCCAATACTCCAAGGAACCAGGATTGGACGGAATTTCAACACAGGGACACGTTTTAGCCAACATACAGGTGGTCAAACACGCACCAAACGATTTGCGCTACTTTGGTGCAGTAAATATGCATGATTTCAAACGCAAAAAACACTTATTAATTTTTGTCCAGCATACTTTTTATTGACACCACGTGAAAGGGCGTTTCTTTACGAAAATTTACATACATTTACATTTGACTTTGGACGATTTTTGTGGTGTCCAGCTTTATTTTTACTACACTTTGACAAAATTGTCAAAATTAAATCTTTGCAGAGGCGGCACTTTTTTGTTTAACGTTGTTTAACGGCCTCCTTCAGTCCTTGCGGAAGCCAACATGCCAAGGAACAAAACCCAAAATAATTTAGCTGCACCTACTTGCACCTTTGAGTTGTAGGGTCTCCTAAACATCGCCGAAAATGCGAAAAACAGCCCCGCGCAGCGCACCGCTTCCCGACGCAACGGAGGCGCCGCTGCATAGTAGTTGCTTGTAATGATTAGAGTTGTGCATGTCAGAGTTTGTCTTCAACGCGAGTATGCTTGTTTAGGTTTTTGCGTTGTTTAATTCATGAAAACGTAGTAAAGGTGTCAGACCATGTCTTGGCGTAACAGGTCCCTTTCTATCAGATGATGTCAAATTTCACACTGGGGGTCTGATATTGTCTAAAACGGATTCCTCGCCCTTCAAAACCCCCCGACTACGAAGTTACACGCCAAAATAACGATTGGTACGGCCTAGGAGAATTATGTCCGCCTAAACCGGCTTCGTGGCCCACTGTGCAGGGAGGGGAAACCTTTCGAGTGCACGGTTTGCAGCAAGAAGTTTACTACCGAAAATTATCTCAAAAGTCATCTTGTAACCCACAGGAAGGAGAAACCTTTTGAGTGCAAGGTTTGCAGCAAGAAGTTAAGTACTAGAGGGAATCTCAAAAGTCATCTTGTAACCCACAGGAAAGAGAAACCTTTTGAGTGCAAGGTTTGCAGCAAGAAGTTAAGTACTAGAGGGAATCTCAAAAGTCATCTTGTAACCCACAGGGAGGAGAAGCCTTTCGAGTGCGCGGTTTGCAGCAAGAAGTTTAGAACAGGAGAGTGTCTTCAAAGGCATATTGTAACCCACATACAGGAGAAGCCTTTTGAGTGCACGGTTTGCTGCAAGGAGTTTAGTACAGAAGGGTATCTCGAGAGTCATCTTGTGACCCACAGGGAGGAAAAGCCTTTTGAGTTCATGGTTTGCAGCAAGAAGTTTACTACAGTGAAGTACCTCAAAAGGCATCTTGTAACCCACAGCGAGGAGAAGCCTCTCGGGTCAACGGTTTGCAGCAAGAAGTTAGGTATACGAGGGCATCTTGTAACTCAAATGGTTGAGAAGCCTTTCGAGTGCACAGTTTGCTGCAGGAAGTTTAGTACAGCAAGGTATCTCAAAAGTCATCTTGTGACCCACAGGGAGGAGCAGCCCTACGAGTGCACGGTTTGCAGCAAGAAGTTTAGAACAAAAGTTTACCTCAAAAGATATCTTGTAGCCCACTTGGAGGAGAAGCATTTGGATTGTACGGTTTGCAGCAAGAAGTTTAAAACAGAAGTGTATCTTAAGAGGCATCTTGTAACCCACATGGAGGAGAAGCCTTTTGAGTGCAGGGTTTGCAGCAAGAAGTTTAAAACAGAAGAGTATCTTAAAAGGCATCTTGTAACCCACATGAAGGAGAAGCCCTTTTGAGTGCACGGTTTACAGCAAAAAGTTTACTTCAGTAAAGAATCTCAAAGGTCATCTTGTAAACAACAGAGAGGAGAAGCCTTTCGAGTGCACGGTTTGCAGCAAGAAGTTTAGAACAGGAGGGCATCTAAAAGGGCATCTGGTAACCCACAGCGAGGAGAAGCCTTTCGAGTGCTCTCTCTGCCGCAAGAAGTTTACAACAGGAGGGAATCTGAAAACGCATCTTGTGACCCACAGGGGCGAGAAGTCTTTCGAGTGCACGGTGTGCAGGAAGAAATTTAGTACAGGAGGGAATCTGAAATCGCATCTTGTAACCCACATGGAGGGGAAACCTTTCGAGTGCATGGTTTGCCGCAAGGAGTTTAGTACAGAAGGGTATCTCAAGAGTCATCATGTGACCCACAGGGAGGATAAGCTTCACGAGTGCCTGCTGTGCAGCAAGAAGTTTAGTAGACGAGAGAATGCCAAAAGGCATCTTGTGACCCACATGGAGAAGAAGCCTTTCGAGTGCACATTTTGCACCAGAAAGTGCCGCACAGGGAAAATTCTCAGATCTCAGGTTATGGGCCACACTGGGAAGTGAACTGTACGCAATGAAAAGCTTTGCTGAGTATACCATCTGAATGGGTAAATGTTTTTGTAGGTCGCAATTTGGCTACCCTGTTTGCTGTAAATAATCAAGTCCTTAGGGCACAACTGTCGACTACGTGCTCAACACCGTTTATTTATAGGAATGCAACTCAATAGTCCCCATTTGATCGCTGCCAGAAAGACAGCTTGTTACTTTTATCCAGAATACATGATCCCAGGTAGAACAGTAAATCCGCTCTGGGGTGGGCTTGAATGTTCGGTTTGCGGCAGGAGCTAACTGTCGCAGTAAGGGTCGCAGACGGGAAGAAGCCTTTTCGTGCTCACGTGGTGAGAGACACTAAGGTGGTCTATGTCAACTAGCTCCCCCATTTCTTTTAAATGCAAGTGGAGTCTTGACAGTGTACAGTTAGAGCATTTGACGAAGTGAGAGAGGGTTGCTTTCTAGTTTAGACTGATGTTATTTGCCGTTTCGCGGAGAATGAAACAGTCATAATCTCGACTGAAATATTGGGGGTAGGTATAGTTTATTGCCCGAATTTGGGTGAGAATCATTTTATCTCCTTAACTTGGGGAGGAAATTGGGTGAGGAAGCCTACCTCATCAAATTTGGTGAGAATATAATCCTACCCCAAATTTATTTGATTATGTACTCGTACTCAGTATGCATCTACAGATGCATCTACAGATGCATACTTGTAAGTACACACCTGCAGATGCTTAATTGGCCAACCGTTCACATCTATACAGATGCATACTTGGCTGAGTACACATCTACAGATGCATACCTTGCTGCACACCGCAATCCCTGGCCAGTATAGGCTCAGCCTGAGGCCATGAAAGAAGAAATTCTCTCTCTCATAGCTGCGTACACACCTACATAGCGCATGCATCTGTACGTATACATCAGTAGATGTGTACTTAGCCAAGTATGCATCTGTGGGTGTGTAGTTGCAAGTATGCATCTGTAGATGTGTACTCATCTGTAGATGCATACTGTGTACACACCTAAGTTTGTAGAGTATATCTCACCCGAAATTGGGTATTCATCAAGACTTTTCATTCTCGGTGTAGTCGAAACGCTTTCTTGTCAGTTTACGGAACATTCTTCACCCAGTTGCCTCAAATGTCATATCGCCTGAATTGTGAGTCCTGCCGAAGTTATGGTTTCTTTTTTAAGAGAAACATTTTATCCAGTGTTTTAAAACTTCTCCCTTGGTTGAGAAACGTCTTTAAAGAATTCCCTAAACCCTGTGACTGGCTCAAAGACGACTGTTGTGGCGTTGGAGTTTTCCTGCAAGACATTCAACCATGCACACTAAATACCTACGGACTTTTTTGTACATCGCTTTCGCCGTATCTGTGCAGATGTAATAGTTATGTACAAATTAGTAAATAAATTAGATACAATTTATGAATACTGAGCACAATATGAAAATATTCTTTTTAATTAATATATTAAATTGTTCACAGCTCACGTACGCACAAATATGGCAATAGGTGTGGACAAAAAGTACATTAACATTCGGTGTGTGGCACATGCCATACGTTAAAGGCGCCTCTATCTCTTGCCACATAGTATTCAACACGGTAAACAAAAGTCATGCAGCATTCAAGGCGGGCGTGAGGGCGCTGCGTCTGCTGGTGTGTGGCGAAGCACTGCGAAGCGCGGCGACGCGCCGAAGCTCGAGCCAAGGTCGCTGCTATTACCTCGTAATAAGCAGGCGAGAGTCGCGACGTGAAAAAAAAGAGGCGCAAAAATGAGAGGAGGAGGCCAAATGGGAAATGAGGGCTTCAATATCAGAGAGGCAGGACGGCGCAGAAGTTTCCTATAGCTGCTTCCCCTGCTGCCGCCCACTGCCGTTCTGCGGCGGCCCACGCCCCCCGTCGTGCCCTGCGGCCCCACTCCGCCCCGCGCGGCCCCGCCCGGACTAAAGGTAAGGCTGGGACGCCACGCGAGCCGCGTGGACAAGGGGAGGGCACACTGCAAAAATAATGCCCAACAGCGCGCACTGCAAAAGTCATGCGAAAGCAGCAGAACTGCAAACGAAACGGAAGAAACAGCATCGCTTAAAACTGACAAGTCAGGGGTAAGTGTGTGTGTTTGGGGGGGGGGGAGGGGGGCTCAGGGTAGTACACCCTTCGTGGCTTACTTCATAGATCTCGAAATCCGTTAGGTGGAGCATTCACTCTCAGAGTAAAATGTTTCTTTGAAATAAGTGGTCAAAGGACGACTCAAAGTCTAGATGTTAGTTAGCTCTTTAAGGGTTTCCTTACATACTTGTTTCTTCTCGAACTTACCCCTAGAAGTTACGTGGCTCTTGTTTTAAAACGTTCAATAGTCTAGCACCAGTCTTGTTAGCGGAAATACAGAGTCAGTATTGTTGGACTTTTTTCTCTCTCATGAATGATGCAATTTTGTGTCCACCAGGTGACACAAATTGTCCGATGCGATTGGCAAAGTGCGGTGGGCATAGGACGATGCAATTAGGAATTGTCCGCTGCAATAGGCCAATTGCAATAGGCATTAGACAACCTTGAATCACCTGGTGGACGCAAAATTGTATCACCGACGGATGTGCTTAAAAATTGCATGGTCTCTGGGGACAACAAAAGTCCCCTGACATTTAGTCTGTATACACCTGATGTGTTCAGCGGTCATCTGGTGAAGAATGAATGCCCCTCACATTAGGTAGACATAGTGGAGGGACGCTAGCGGCCTTGATGTCGGCCCTAACCCAAATATAATTGAGGGTCGGTCAGGTTGATAACACACCCAGGGGCCGAAACAGGCACACTATTAAGCGAGGTGAGGAAGTCACACGTGGCTTCCCTGCGGGCGTACCACACTGAAAGGAGTTGCTGCTAAAAAGTGAGCTGTGAGCTCTTGTCTCACCGTCGACAATAGAACCTTTCAATTTGTATGCACACTTTTCACAAGTTTTGCACTCCCAATTTCCTATTGAGAAATGCCGTGCTGTCATAATACTGAGCTAATTCTCAGTACTCTACGACACAAATCTATCATAATACAAAGAAATTTGTTTGTAATACTAAGAAACTGGTCATAAGTTACTGAGAACCCCTCACCTTACGTTACTACCTTCGCTGTGCTGTCATAATACTAAGCTTTTTGTTCGTATTACGAAGAAAAAGCTCAGTAGGATCTTGGGAGTGTGATAGACGTTTCGATCCAAAAGATCTTTTCCCCTGCCGTAGAAAGAAACCAAGTGACAGCAAAATTCATCACTCAAAGCCCGATGTGTTAAGAACTGCAATTATTCTCTCGGGAAAAATAGCCTATCCTTACTTTAAAGTCCAACCAACAAACTTTAATCTATCTCTTTAAAATACAAAGAATTCATGTGAAAGCATATCACGGAGCCATATCTCCTTCGTAAGTTGTTCGTTTGTGTGCCTTACACAGAAGCCAAAAAACAGATCGTACACTGTGGCAAAAAGCTACGGAAAATTCTGTACACAGCTTGTGTTAATTCTCCGTAGCCCCCTTATCAATATTCTCCGTAGGCTCTTACAGTATTTTCCGTAGGACTGCACAGTATTCTCCGTACGACCTTACAGTGATCTCCGTAGGACTGTACATTCTTCCAGGTCCTACGGAGAAGACTGTGCGGACTTACAGAGAATACTGTACGGCCCTACGGAGAATACTGTAAGAGCCTACGGAGAGTATTGATAAGAGGGCTACGGAGAATCCTGGCAAAAAAATTAACAGAATTTTCCGTACTTTTTTCCACAGTGTAATAAACAAATTTAGTTTGTATTGTGTTCGCACATAATTCATCGTACTGTACCACCACTGGAAGAAATTCTGAGCGCAGTGATATTTACAGTGCCGGTTCCGCAGCTGCTGCATCGGCCTCCGGTCCGATATCACGGCCAAGACGGACGTCAAACGGACGCCGTGCCCCGATCCCGTGCCAGTTTTATGCGGCGACCTCCAACGCGTCGAGCGCAGCTCCGGTGTGGGAGGGGCGTGCAGTGGGCCAGAGGACCGCGGCCGGCGCCTTAAAGTCTAGACGCCTTTTCAGCTCCAGAGTCCCTAAACAGGACTCCAACCGAACGTGTGACCCGACCAATGGATTCCTCGTTCGGAGAGCTATCCATTGGTGGGGTCACACGTTCGGTTCTTGTTCTGTTGAGTGACTTCGCACCTCAACACGCGTCCGGGATCTTTGCCGCCTCCACCGGTCTTCTGGCCCACTGTGTGGTGGGGTGTGGGGTTACCCGCGAGAAACTGGGTTGGGCGTAAAGGGGGGCAGTAGGTGTTGCCGCCGCGCGTATAAACAGCCAGGCAAAGCAGAGGCGGGCGTCTAAGTGAGTAGAGGCGCCATTCCTGGAGTTGGCAGCACGCTCAGTGGCGGATCCAGAGCCGGCCTGAGAGGGAGGGGGGGGGGGGGGAAAGTAGCACTTTTTGCCTACCCAGAGGGGAAAGTGTAGCCTTTTGCATCCCTCTCACACGGCGATCCACTTATTAAACGTTTTAATCAATTATCTACGAGACGTCATTGTGTTTTGAGCGGATGAACTTTTCGCAAACTTTTCATACGGAAAGGTGCACTTTTCCCTCATTTAGGATCAAAACTAAGCACAAATTCGTTCTTTCATCTGCACAAAAATTTGTGTCACGTCTGGATTCAAATTTTAACAAGTGCATAGTAGCACTTTTTTCCTCCGCAATGTGTGGCGTGTTGCATACCTTTCTGGTTATGAAGGAACGCAGGGGATCTAATCTCTCTCTCTCTCTCTCTCTCTCTCTCTCTCTCTCTCTCTCTCTCTCTCTCTCTCTCTCTCTCTCTAGCAGTGCCTGCTCAGCACACTGTTAGAAATTCTGTCGTAAATTAGCGACAAAAAATTCGCTAATTTTCATAGCGACGGAAATCGTTCTTAAACTACTTCGTCGTTACTGAACGACTAAAAAAATCATTTCTCTACGACAGTGTCGTAATCACGATTACATATTTTGACACCTGAAATCCCCGAAAAGTTGGTGAAAAGTTACAATTTGGTCACTTATTTACGATTTGTGTCGTTCATTTACGATTCATATCACTAATTTATGTACGACTGAAGTCATAACTGCACGACTCGAAAGATAATTTACGATTGTTCGTAGACTTACGATTAAGTCGTAAATTTACGACTTAAATTGTTTTAAAACGAAACGTGTCGCTATCAAAATTAGCGACAAATATGTCGTACATTTACGATTCAAGTCGTATATTTATGACTTGAGTCGTAACAAAATATGTTGTTTAAAAACGACATAATTGTTCTACAAAATGTCGTAAATTTACGATTATTTTTAACAGTGCACGGCCGAGTTGCCCCGAACAGAATGACGCCAAGCATGCCACAACAACACGTGCGCACCGGACCAGGCGGCCGACTGCAGTAAGGCACTTTTAGAACTTTACCGATCATCGCCACTGCCACAAAAGGGGAAAGAGAAGGGGACCCAGGGACACTGCGGTGGAGCTCAGGGAGAAGGAGATAAGCCGAAACACGAGGAACTACTCCTCTTTACAATGTAAATACGAGGTTAGATTACGGTTAAACTTCTTTTTCACCTTTTTTTAGGAAAGCTGCATCATAACGTTTTATACTTTTGGAGCTCACTTTGTGTCCGTACTGAAATTAATCACGGGGATAACAAATTGTTCTCTGCAAGCCATTCTGCGACCATTCTAAATCGAGTTCATATCGACCGTATACCAGTGCCAGGCGGTCGCATCAGAGAGACACACTAATGGCGCAGGTAGTTTAATCCTGGCACTAGGATGAGGAGGAGAGCTAAAACCTGAAGGTCGCGCTTACAGCCAACCAGTTCACTGCAAGAAAGTCGTTTAAGCATTCTTCAACTCTACCCAGTGGAACTCTACCCGCAAATAATGCAGGACTGAGTATTCCTGACCCGGCTATGGGATGGTTTCTTTCCGCCGAAAGGCGAACCCGCAAGCACTCCGGCGCCCCCACTATGCAAATAGTTGCATGCGTGAGCAGTCCCGCCCCGCAACGTCCTGACTTGCCGAGTCATCGTCGAGAAGCCCGCAAGGATAACTATTGTATCTAAACTGCCATCAAGGGGGTGGGATTCGGGCAGCGGTCGAGGCTGGGGAGGGGGGGGGGAGGGGGAGTGGAGGTGGGGGGGGGGTGCGTGGGCAGGCGCAAGGGGAGGGGTTGTTGTGAGCAGCGCAGAGGAAGAGGGTGGGGGAGGCTAAAGTGGGGTTGATTCTGGTGTGGGTGGAGGAGTGCTAACTCCTGCGCCGAGGTTTGAAGCTCTGTTGGGCCACTGGGGGATTCTTCAAGAGGAGGGTGGACGGTGGACCCCGTGTGACGCTCGGCCGAGACGCTGTGCAAACCAGGCGGGGGTCTGCAAGGGCCGCGCCCCCGTGTGCCCCTGTGTATAGACACAGCCAGGCATGCCGTGGGTAATTAGGTTTGCAGTGGAGACGTGGGAGTTCGCTGCAACCTGACAGGTGCTCTGCCAATCCAAGTGTGAGGCAGTTTCACACTATTTGGCGTAAGCCCCAATGCATCACGCTTACAAGTGTGACATCGAAAAATTCATGAAACGAAACTAGAACGATCAAATGTCTCATACCCTGCTGTCTCAAGTTGCCCCACTGTACGGTTTTAACTGGGGTGTATTAATATGGTCCTTCACTGATTTCTTCGGTCAAATAAAGTTGTAAACCTTTATTTGTTAACATGTTGACAAACGCAATCGTATTACTGCACCGGAACGTCAGTGGTTAACTGACAAAATGTATACGATAGATGATAGTGTAAAGGTTTCGATTAAAAGATAGGTGATGCTGCCTTACCGTGACATGATTTTCACGAGGATATATCCAGTAGCGTGGCGTCTTTTCGTTATGTGACGTCACGTTCTTATATCGGACTGGTAATTAAAACAAACAAGGGGTGTTTGCATTTGCTATCGATTCGACAGTGCGTAGGAGACAAAGTTCGGACAGGTGGAAACATTCCAGTCAGGATACAAACAACATCATCCCTAACAAAACACGCCCGAACTTCCTCATACCGGAACCAACTGTATCAAAATCCTCCGTGCCCCTCCATTATTATTTTTTTTTCGTAAATTAGTGAAAGAAATTCACTGTAAAAAAAATATTCTGAAATTTCAGACAAAATTTGACTGAAGTTAATTCACAGTAAGGGGTTCTGAAATTTCAGACCATTTCAGCGGTCTGAAAATTAAGAATAGGGTGGTCTCAACGTTTAGAATTGGGTGGTCTGAAAATTAAGATTTAGGTGGTCTGAATTATTAGACACGGCCAGTCTGAAGAAAATTCAGACAAAAACACAAAATTGTAACGTTGAACCTTCACTCCATTGCGAGAGAAGTCTTTGATAGAACTTGCGCGTTACATATCGGCCTTGCTCTTTACTCGGAAACTCCGAATATCTTGGTATTCGAACCATCGTATCCTCGCTCGTCGGCTTTGCGGGCTATCCATTACACCACGGGACCGCTCTGAGAGCGCGCCTGCAGGATGCCGATGACTCCAAGCGCGCTCGCTGGACGCTGGGAGGCCACAAATAAACAAACCAAGCGCGTGTTGCGGGAGTTATAAACTGCGGACAACTTGGGCTGCTCGTGAATATTTAAGATTTTGTATCGAGCTCACAAATATTGCGGTTAAATTTGGTCAAGTGAGGCAACCAGTCTGACATTTCAGAACAATACGTCTCCCGTTTCAGACCCATGGTCTGAAAATACACAACCAGTTTGAAATTTAAGATCAATCGGTCTTCCTTTTCAGGAGAATAGTCTGAAAAGGCGATTCAGACTACATGGTCTTGTACTTAGTCTGAATTTTCAGTCACCCCTGTCAGACTTTTTGTCTGGATGGTCTGAATTTGCTTTTAAGACTGCGAAAGTCTTAAATTTCATCCGAGGATTCTTCTTTTGCATACTTCTGGTCTTAATTCAGAAATCAGACCACTAGGTCTTACAAAATTGGTCTGAATTTTAAGATTTTTTTTAACAGTGAAGCGGAGTGGTCGGGGAGGCCGAAAAATAAGTGGGCCGGTCCGTGTTTTATTCACGGCACAACAAAAGCTCCAGGCTCACGGCCAGGGAACTGGCAAAGTGTCCGGCACCGGAAGAAGGGGTTGCTGGAAGCCGAGCTGAAAGCAGGGCCGGGCGTGGGAGGGGATGGTCTCCCTTTCGGGGCCGCAGTCCCACTTGGGATCCACTGGGGCAGTACACTGGGACAGTACACGGCGGGCGGGGGCGGGCGAGTAGGTCACCTTGTAAGCAGCAGGCGGATTCAGGGTATCGGTCCCGGCAGTGGGAGGGTCCGTGCGAGAGCCCGCCTAGGTCGGCACCGACGCGTCGGGCCGTACAGTGGTCGGGTGATTCTGTCACAGCGACTGAATGGTGCTGGAAGCTGGCGGCAATGCGGCCAGGGTAGGTCGTCGTCGCGACTGTCAGCTGTCTCTCAGGCCACCTGCTCTCTCACTTGCATTTGGAATTTGGATTTTCGTGGCGTGGTTCGGCTATTGTGATTGTGGTGACTGCGGCGTATCGTGCCGGACGAAGGGTTTAAAATGGGTGAGTTAATAATATTCCCATTCAGCTAGCACGTTTGCTTTCTTGAATGCTCCCTCTCTTCTTCCATTTTATTGGATTTGATGTGGAAATGTATCGTAACTTGAGTTGCTCGAATCCCGACGCGCGGCTGGGCCTTGGGTTTGTTTGAGCCTTTGTTCCAATGAATGCCTAAATATGCCGAGGACGGTGATTTTGGACCAGGTCGCCCTGAATACATACTGAAACATGTGATGTGGGTACAAGTTGCCTTTTAATTCATACGCGGCGGATCGGTGTTTTCCTAACCTGTCCTCTGTCCTGCCGTTCTCGGATTTTCCGATTCAATTATTCAGTTTCTAAACTGCTTGGGATTCAAATTCTCACGTATCTCATATTTGCTACGGAGGCCCTTCTAAAGGGTGCTACATTTGTTGATAATATAGTCTTATCGGCATCACTCATCCTCTTGTCTTAGTACACATGTTGCGGCATTCCCTGTCATCAACCCAGTCCAATGTCACAATTTGCATTCAACGTCAGAAATCAATAGCTGTTACCTCAGATCACTGCATGTATGCTAGCCTGTTTTCCCTCACCTTATCCTTAACCTTATTTTATTTAGTATTTCGTAATTTTGTTTGATCTGCAGATAACACCAACCCATCTCATGCCCAATGGACGGCGCTTATGGATTTTCTTGAGCCTGACGAAGAGATGCTAGGAGGTATTGTGCTGCAGCCAAGAGGACTCAACTATTTAAAGCAACGGTGGGAGACTTTGGCCATACTTCTTAACGCCACAGAAGGGGCAACATGTGTCAAAACTGGTCCAGAATGGAAAAATGTAAGTTGTATTACATCCAGTTTTTAATGTTTTGTTTTGAAGAAAATCCACTAGCCAAACTTTTTTTTTCAGGCATGGAACAACTTAAAGTGCCGATCCCGACGAATCTACCGAGATAAAGTAAGGCATTTAGCATTGGCAGGACAACCATTTCCGCCCCCTGAAGGTGTTAATGGCCTCAATGAAATCGGTGTAAGGGCCATCCAAATAAGTGGGGGTGTTACCATGGCATTGAAATGTTTGGGGCCACTTCCTGCTCAGGTATGAACATATTTGTCATTGCCTCATTCATTCTGAAGCGGGCTCATAAAAAATTTTCCTTGTTACTCTTCTGCAGATAGACCAACTAGTACAGCAAGTTGCTGAAGCACCTGCCCAAGTAGCGCAAGCTGCTGAGGCTGCCCATGCTGCGCCACCTGCTCAACCAGCTGAGGCTGCCCATCCTGCGCCACCTGTTCAACCACCTCACGCTGGCCAAGCTGCACAAGCTGCTCCACTACCTGAGGCTGGCCAAGCAGCGCCACCTGTTCAACCACCTGAGGCTGGCCAAGCTGTGCAAGCTGCTCAACCACCTCAGCCTGCCCAAGTTGCGCAAGCGGCTCAACCAGTTGCTTTTGTGGTGCTAGACGATGAAGCACTGCTTGGAGAGGCTGCTGGGCCTGTTGCAGGCGTCGAACCAGACCTTGTTCCATTCAAATGGGAGAACGAAGATGACAATGATGTGCTATTTTTGGACTTGGTGACACCTGTGAAGGTAAGGGTTTTGGAGATATGTGCTGCATTAATTAGGCCTCTTAGGAGAGGTTCAGGGGTCACTCTTAAACTTTCATCAAAATGAAATCCACAATTTTTCAATATTTTCAAGCTTTATTTTTTTTAATGGTATATGTTGGCCTGAATCTTCTTGACTTCTTCAATCCAGTTTTATGATCCCAGCATGTTCACCTCTGTTTCAAAATCATCAGTAAGGGTCGTCAGCTTAAATCCCACTGACATATGGGGAGTCTGGAATAGTTTTTGAATTTTTTAGTGGGCTGTTGTTTTGAGAAAAGAAAAGATTTTTCATGCAACCTATCCACCAGTAATGTTTTGTTGATCCTTGCATGTTGCTTTTCAGAATGAAGTGGAGGTGAAGCTGGAGCCTGTCAAAGCCCAAATCAAGGAGGAAGGAGGAATTGGAGGCATGTACCACACCCCGCCAAGGGACTCTGGTCTCACACCTTCTTGCAAGAGAAGGCTTCTTAGAGGCCACGCCCGTGATGAAGGTAATGGGACAATGAGTTTGTGTTCTTGGGCTGCAATAAGTTTTTTTTTTTTTAATATGTTTTGTTTGTTTCTCAGGGTTTTGGGCGCAGCCTGGCACAGGACACCTAGCTGAGTCTAGGCTAGATGCGTTGATCAGAGATAATACTAATGTTATGCAAGAGTTATTGAAGGTGATGCAAAGTATCAATCTCAAATTTTGATTATTATCATTCATCTTGCATCTGACCCATTGACCACGAACTGTAACATTTAAATGGAAACATTTAAATGTACATTTGCACAGTTCCATTTGTATATGTTTCTCTTTTCCAAGTTTTAATTGGTTGTTTTTAGCCACTCAAAACATAATCTCAAACTTTTCTTGATTTTTCTTGCATTTGCAAATTTGACCAATTTGTCACATTTCATTTTTTTAAGAAGTTCAATTGTGTTTTGTTGTGCATAAGCATGCATCTCAAACTTGTCCTGATATTATTGTTCATTAGATGTTCCTTTTTTTTAATGTTGGTTTTTTTCCTATGTTGACTATTTGGGGTGAGTGTGAGGTAACTCAATTTAATTTCACTCTGTATTAGAATAGTTGTGACATTTTATACTTTTATTTTAGTTGGTACAAGCTGTGAAGAGTACAAGTTGTAAAGAGTGACACTTTAATGTTCATGTTCCCGTCTCTCTGTCGACATGTTCTCATCATCTAATAAAAATGTGTTTCTGAAAGTTCCTACTTTTCTCCTTAAACTTTGCACTGACTTCCACTTCACTTTAAACAGCTCTCAACGGTGGTCCGTTGGCGAGCTTCTTTTTTTGGTTGAATATTTGGCGCTTTAGTTGCTGCTGCAGTAGGTGGTTTACTTTCAAAATCCTGCTTGTTTGGCGCGTCTCACACCGTCGACAAACGACGAGCGTAATCGCGCTTGAGGGGAGGGGAGAGGGGGAGGACTGTAAATACAAACACCGTGCCTTCGCCCTGTTGACTAAGTCTTTCTAGAATCCTTGCAGTTTCATTCAATGTCAACCCACTTGTTGCTGTTGTTCATACGGTATTTAGAGTTCTGAACGTTGTGACGCCATGGGTTAGTATAAATCCACCTGTTAGGAAGAGACCCTCTATTAAGTGGTGTACCATAACCAAAGTTAACACCCAACAGTAAACATCCTTGTATTTGTCGGTTTTTCAGAATTTGACTATTTTGGAGACCGTCCTCACAATGTGGCACTCGAGCACAGAAGGAGGCTCAATCTGCAAATTCATGAAAGGTTCAGAATAAGGGATAACAATGACCCCCTTCAAACATTAAGTGTCACAGAGTTTGTCCGGCTCTATCGAATCCCCCAACATGCAGTAGTTGAACTGGCAAACGTTTTGAGGCCCTACTTCCCGCAGCGCCGGAGTCCACATCAAATACCTCTAATAAGAAAGGTTAGTTGATTTTTCTTAAGTTGTGGTGTATCAAATAAAGTGAAAATTTAATTTTACAGATTCTTGTGGCACTTTCGTTCTATGGCGTTGGGCCTTACCAAAGATTGGCTGGACGGTCTGTGGATTGTTCAGTAAGCCAGACATCATCAAGCAGAATAATAAGGGAAGTCACTTTGGCTTTGAATCACCCTGAAATACTGACCCAGTACATAAGATTTCCGCTCACGCATGAAGAGCGAGCACCTGTGATTCAGAGGTAATTGTTCCTCGTCTCATGTTTTGTAGTTCACTTATTTGCAGATGTTAAAAATATGCTTCTGCTTTCAGTAATGAGCGCTTGGGCATGCCAAGAGTGCTGGGTTTTATGGATGGATTTTTGCAAAGGGTTTCACATCTCCCTAAAGATGGAGACAGACAGTCCTTTTTTTGTCGCAAAGGGTTCACTGCCTTGAATGTCCAAATTGTGAGTTGCATTTATTTTGGCCATTTGTTTTTGTTTGTTTTTTACCTTGTGCATTAGTCCCTATTGTGTTTCTATTATATTCTTGTGTCCACAGATTTGTGATGCAGACCTTAGGATTATGAACGTTGATGCTCGGTGGCCAGGGTCACTGACAGATAACACCATATGGACTGCATCTGCAGCAAGGAATGTAGTTGAACATGCTTACTGGGAGGATCGGTGTTGGCTGTTGGGTACGGTAATTGTTCTTGAAATAGAACTTTCAGTACTGCTCCTACAAGCAGTAGGCATCCACATTGCATGGAACATAAACAGGTGTTAAAAGATAAAATATGACAGGAAAATGTACTTTTTATAAATGTCAACAACTGTACGTGCTTTTCTAAAGTCAATGATTCAAAAATAGGGTGGGGATCATGATTTAAATATTTGTCTTAATTATGTTAATGTGAAACTATTGGATTTTTTTTTCATTGTTGGAATCTCTTTTTTGCACTGATTTTTAAAAAGGCTATTGGAGGAGAGAAAGAAATGACTTTCTTAATTTGCATGTTAACTTAATATTTGGTTACTAAATAATTTAAATGCAACATTCTTTACACAAATGATGCTTGAAGTTAAGTTACAAGGTTAATACAAAGTGATACTCCATACAAGTTATGTGTTGGTGTTGAAACCAATCCGATCTCTCCCCTATCTCGTTAAAAAAAATTAGATGGTACCTTTACGTGCTTCATGGTATGGTTTGATTTCAGGTGATTCTGGCTACTATACAGCCCCGTGGTTACACATTCCACTTATACATGCAGCCCCTGGTACGCCTGAGTACGTCTACACAAGATTGCATTGCCACTGCAGGAATGCTGTTGAGCGATGTATAGGAGTCTTAAAGGAAAGGTGGAGACTTCTTTCCTGCGACCGCTGTATTAATTATGGAGATGCAGGTTACGCTGGCATGTTTGTCAATGCTTGCTGTGTACTCCATAACTTCTGCATTGCTCGAGGGGTCCCTAATCCTCGGCCTCGATTAGAACGTGAACCACCTGTACTGGCAGACGACTATAATGATCTGCCTGAAAATATTCGACTGAGGGGCTTGGCCGAAATGCAGTACCTTATTGACTATGCCAATCAAAGAGAGAACATGAATGCCCTGTAAAGTAATTTCATCAAAGGAAACTAGTTGGATTTACACTCCTAACTCTCCCTGCCATTGTTTTTATACTGTGTTGGTCATTAGCAATTTTGCATGTGTGCAAAAAGACTGTCAATCATGGAATGTAAATTTTGTATGTTTCTACATAGTGTATTTGTTGTGAGCCAATAGTTGTCCATCTGTGACAACCACATTTGACCTGTTCCTTTAACTTCTGAATTATTCCTATTTAAAGCCATTTTTAACAAAATGGCAACTGTGAGCAGCCTCCCTAATCTGTAGGATTCAGGGCTATTTTAAAATGTAGAAACTGCTTTTCACAATAAACAGCATGTATGTTACTACAACTTACTTCTCTTTCAAACTGTACCCAACCCACTGTCTCACAAGGGAAAATGGGACTAATATTAAATTCTTACTAGTCAATTTCTGTAGAGTGAATATTAATTAGTTTTATATTCACATTCTGTTAATCGACAAAATTTCAGAAGTTCCAGCAGCCAAGCATGAAAGCCAATACTCCTCTAGTCAGGACACCTGGCATTTTTGTGAAAAGATGTGATTTGAATTTATCCATGGTTATAAGCAATCTATATCTTTCAGTATTATGGGCATGAAAGGAATAAAATTAAGTGCATTAGAAGAAAGATGTTTTACTTGATGTAAACATTACAGTCCCCACAAAAATTATTCCACTTAACAGAGTAGAATAGAAGGCACACACAGAAGGCAACTAGGCAACATAGGAACAAATCAAAGAAGCGTGACTGCAGCCAGTGATGTTCACACCCAAGCAGCATTTTAAAAGTAAACCACCTACTGCAGCAGCAGCTAAAGCGCCAAATATTCAACCAAAAAAAGAAGCTCGCCAACGGGCCACAGTTGAGAGCTGTTTAAAGTGAAGTGGAAGTCAGTGCAAAGTTAAAGGAGAAAAGTAGGAACTTTCAGAAACACATTTTTATTAGATGATGAGAACATGTCGACAAAGGGACGGGAACATGAACATTAAAGTGTCACTCTTTACAACTTGTACTCTTCACAGCTTGTACCAACTGAAATAAAAGTATAAAATGTCACAACTATTCTAATACAGAGTGAAATTAAATTGAGTTACCTCACACTCACCCCAAATAGTCAACATAAGAAAAAAAACCAACATAGAAAAAAAGGAACATCTAATGAACAATAATCTCAGGACAAGTTTGAGATGCATGCTTATGCACAACAAAACACAATTGAACTTCTTAAAAAAATGAAATGTGACAAATTGGTCAAATTTGCAAATGCAAGAAAAATCAAGAAAAGTTTGAGATTAATGTTTTGAGTGGCTAACAACAACCAATTAAAACTTGGAAAAGAGAAACAAATACAAATGGAACTGTGCAATTGTACATTTAAATACAAATGGAACTGTGCAATTGTACATTTAAATGCTACAGTTTGTGATCAATGGGTCAAATGCAAGATGAATGATAATAATCAAAATTGAAGATTGAAATTTTGCATCACCTTCAATACTTCTTGCATAACAATAGTGTTGTGTCGGATCACTGCCTCATACCTGGACTCAATAGAGAGTCGTGTATCAGATGGTCCCCAACAACCTGAGAATACAAACAGAGCAAGAGTTTTAAAAAATTCACTTATTATTCTGAGAACCAGCACACACATACTGCCCCATTACCTTCATGCCTGGTGTGGTCTCTGGTAGGCCTTCTCTTGCAAGAAGGTGTGAGACCAGACTCCCTTGGCGGGGTGTGGTACATGCCTCCAATTCCTCCTTCCTCCTTGATTTGGGCTTCGACAGGCTCCAGCTTCACCTCCACTTTATTCTGAAAAGCAACATGCAAGGATCAACAAAACATTACTGGTGGATAGGTTGCATGAAAAATCTTTTCTTTTCTCAAAACAACAGCCCACTAAAAAATTCAAAAACTATTCCAGACTCCCCATATGTCAGTGAGATTTAAGCTGAAGACCCTTACTGATGATTTTGAAACAGAGGTGAACATGCTGGGATCATAAAACTGGATTGAAGAAGTCAAGAAGATTCAGGCCAACATATGCCATTAAAAAAAATAAAGCTTGAAAATATTGAAAAATTGTGGATTTCATTTTGATGAAAGTTTAAGAGTGACCCCTGAACCTCTCCTAAGAGGCCTAATTAATGCAGCACATATCACCAAAACCCTTACCTTTACAGGTGTCAACAAGTCCAAAAATAGCACATCATTGTCATCTTCGTTCTCCCATTTGAATGGAACAAGGTCTGGTTCGACGCCTGCAACAGGCCCAGCAGCCTCTCCAAGCAGTGCTTCATCGTCTAGCACCACAAAAGCAACTGGTTGAGCCGCTTGCGCAACTTGGGCAGCCTGAGGTGGTTGAGCAGCTTGCACAGCTTGGCCAGCCTCAGGTGGTTGAACAGGTGGCGCTGCTTGGCCAGCCTCAGGTAGTGGAGCAGCTTGTGCAGCTTGGCCAGCGTGAGGTGGTTGAACAGGTGGCGCAGGATGGGCAGCCTCAGCTGGTTGAGCAGGTGGCGCAGCATGGGCAGCCTCAGCAGCTTGCGCTACTTGGGCAGGTGCTTGAGCAACACCTTGTGGCTCATCTACAACTTCGGCTTGAGCCATATCAAGTTGAATCTGAAAAATATGAAAACAGATGTAAATACATTGCAATGTAGAAGGAATTTTGCACAAGGTTCAGTGTGTACCTGCAAGGGATCAGGGGCATGGCTGCCCAGTGCAGCCTTTAGGCCTGTCAAATTGATCACACGCTCATGGAGGGCTGAAAGCCCTAACCCCACGATAGAAGCGACTGGTCCACCCCCTGTCCCAGCCATATATGCAGCCCTCTTCCGGCATGCATCTCTAGCTCTAAGCTTCAGTTTATTCCATGACTGAAAATGAAATGAAGACAAGAGGACGTAAGCAACAGAGCAAAAGTGTACAGAGGTCAGTACACTACACTGAGTAGGTCTGTACACTAAGTGACACCTAAGGAAATGTTACTTACTTCCTTCCAACCAGCCCCGTCCTTCTGATCACCAGGGATCTGGTTTAGGACAGCGGCTATGTCTTCCCACCTCTGCCGAGTCCTTATGACACCGTTGGGACCCTTAAAATCTCCGTGGAGCAGCTCCTTGTCATGGGCAAGAATGTCCATAAGACAGTTCCACTGCTCTGGTCTGGCGCCTGTAACCACAAAACATAATTCAGAATACCAAGAGAAGTCCGCAATGAGCACTAGTTTTAACCGACTGATTTCTGACGTTGAATGCAAATTGTGACATTGGACTGGGTTAATGACAGGGAATGCCGCAACATGTGTACTAAGACAAGAGGATGAGTGATGCCGATAAGACTATATTATCAACAAATGTAGCACCCTTTAGAAGGGCCTCCGTAGCAAATATGAGATACGTGAGAATTTGAATCCCAAGCAGTTTAGAAACTGAATAATTGAATCGGAAAATCCGAGAACGGCAGGACAGAGGACAGGTTAGGAAAACACCGATCCGCCGCGTATGAATTAAAAGGCAACTTGTACCCACATCACATGTTTCAGTATGTATTCAGGGCGACCTGGTCCAAAATCACCGTCCTCGGCATATTTAGGCATTCATTGGAACAAAGGCTCAAACAAACCCAAGGCCCAGCCGCGCGTCGGGATTCGAGCAACTCAAGTTACGATACATTTCCACATCAAATCCAATAAAATGGAAGAAGAGAGGGAGCATTCAAGAAAGCAAACGTGCTAGCTGAATGGGAATATTATTAACTCACCCATTTTAAACCCTTCGTCCGGCACGATACGCCGCAGTCACCACAATCACAATAGCCGAACCACGCCACGAAAATCCAAATTCCAAATGCAAGTGAGAGAGCAGGTGGCCTGAGAGACAGCTGACAGTCGCGACGACGACCTACCCTGGCCGCATTGCCGCCAGCTTCCAGCACCATTCAGTCGCTGTGACAGAATCACCCGACCACTGTACGGCCCGACGCGTCGGTGCCGACCTAGGCGGGCTCTCGCACGGACCCTCCCACTGCCGGGACCGATACCCTGAATCCGCCTGCTGTGCCGCGTTGTTCAGTCCAGCTGTTACTTTGCACAAGGTCGGCCCCCCAGAGGCAGCCACTCCAAACGCGATGATGGTGCCGACAAAGACGCCCTCTGGCAGGCGTGCCGGGCTCTCACCCTGGGGATCTCGACACTCATACGACAGGGATCTCACCGTGATATTCAGTTGAGACTAACTTAGTTAAACTAGTCGAGGGATAGCTCTAAGTCAAGGTATCAGCTCGAGGGAGTCCTTTCCTCACCCCTCACCCTCTACCTTTCCGCTGAAACCAACCCCCTGCAAGTCGCAGAAAACGCCCAGCGCATTTGGTGGCCGTCCCCTCTTTGCGCGGCGGCAGCTGTTATGGGATTGTTAGCAGACGATAAAGCTGGAAACGATTCCACTCTCCGTGTGAAATAATGGAGATGCAGCCAGAGATAGACATACTGCTGCTTCTTCCCCTCCGCCCAATCACGTGCACCCACTCCTCCCCTCTCCCCCCCCCCCCTTTCCCCCCTCGCGCCCCCTCTCCCCCTTCACCTTCCAACCGCATGGTTCTTCCTCCCCGGCCCCGCCCACCCCCTACCCGTTTCACTGTGATGTCTCTGCCAGGCCGAGCACCGCGGGGGGCGCCAAAAACAAACCCATTTGGGGGGCCGGTCACGCTTTTGGCATTAAGGATGTAGCGCCCTCCCCCTGCCCCTCATCCTGCATGGGCCACGTATAAATACACGTTACGCAGCAGACCGACTCCGAGAGTCGTCGCTCTGTCTGTCTCGCACTCATGGAGCGTCCCGTATGTGCGCGAGAGAGACAGAGCGACGAAGACGGCTCTCGGAGTCAGTCTGCTGGCGGGCTGCAGCAGAGTGCTGCGTAAGGAGAAGGGGGCGGCGCTCTGCCGCCTGTCAAATTTCAATCCGCTCTGGAGCCCACACTGCCATCAGCGGCCGCTGCCGCTTTCAAATATTGAGGCGTATGAGATTTCACCGCCTTGAATTATTTAGGCTTCGGACCTGCTAAGTGGATGACGCAAGCAACAGCCGACTCGGCTGACCCTGTTAATTGAAAGGTGAGACATTAAGCCACTCTGGGATTCAGAAAAAAATTCTCACCTCTCTGCGGTGAGGTCCAAAACTGTCTCTTATGTAGCGGTGAAAATAGTAGTTCTCGCCTATTTGGTGATGAAAATCATAATTCTCGCCATGAACTTTCAGTGGAATATTTAAAGAGGAAAAAGTTACAAGCGGCACTTAAAAAAAAGAAAAAATTCACAGGCCATTTGGTTTTGTTCATGGACACCAATTACAATCCATTTGAATTGCGCAGACCAATTGATTTTGTCATGGAAACAGTTAACAAGCCATATTTGGGTAAGAAAAGTGAACTGCGGGAAAAAGTGCGTCTGTGAATATTCCTCTTTACTCAGGTTTCGAAAAATTATGGATGACACAGATACGAAAATCCCGTTTGAAAACACATTTAACTATATGGTGAAAATAAAGGTGCCGTTTTACAGGTTCCACACAGTTCATGCACAACTTTTCACTGTGCCACACCTGGTCTCTGCAACGGTCGCAGCCCCCGCACTGGAAGTAATTCCATTGTCGCAACTTCCAACAGTTTACAATGGAACATTAAAATGCCGGCAGTAATCAGCTCAAAGTTTTGCATTAGTTGTCAACCCCCGCGGGACGAGCGCCCTGCCAGTGTGCCCGGCCGGTCCGCTCTGGGGAGGGTCCGTCCGATCCTCGGCCTCTGCCCAGCTGTTCCAAAGCCGTTCCGTCCCGCTTTCTCTCTCGCACCCGACGGGGAGCTCAACGAGTGCGACGCAGGGAGGAAACGACTCTTACCGAGCCAGCCTCCCGGACGCCGCACAGTGGGCCAGAAGACCGGTGGAGGCGGACAAAACTCTAGATGCGTTTTGAGCTCCAGAGTCGCTACGTGTGACCCCACCGATGGATTCCTCGTTCGGAGAGCAATCCACTGGTGGGGTCACACGTTCGGTTCGAGTGTCATTGGGTGACTCGGAACTCAAAGCGCGTCTACACTTTTGGCCGCCTCCTCCGGTCTTCTGGCCCACTGTGCGCCGGCTGGCTTGGCCGCACGGGGCGACCTTTGCAGCAGGAAGTTGTCGCTCTGTCTCTCTCGCACCTGTACGGAGCGGCCCACGAGTGCGAGAGACAGAGCGACGCCTCTCGGAATGTCTGCAGGCTCGACCCCGCCGGCGTGCGAGGAGCCCCTCGAGGGGTGGCGGCCTGCCCGCCACTATTTCAAACTTTCCCTTTCCCGGGCCGCTGCCGCAATGCTGCCGCCGTGTGGCGCTAATTTTGTGACTCTGTGGCTGACCGGGACCGGGGCGGGACCAGCACCCTCCCCTCGTTTGGACTTCCAGCCCGATTGCAGCGATTACCACACTGTGAATCCGCTCTGAGGGAGACTTGACCGCGTCCCGCCCGGTGAGGCGGAGGGAGGAGGTCGCACCAGGAGTGGAACTCACTAAATGTTACGCACAATTGTGTCCAAGACATCACAGTTTTTTGTGCAGGCGAACTTTTCATATAATTTTCGTACGAAAACCTGCACATATGTCCCCCTTTTTGTACATGTGAAGCTCATTCCATTTGGGAGATTCGATTCCAAACGCTTGCATTCTAAAAGAAAATTAGGCAGAGATCCTTAACTTAACTTAACATTTAACGAACACTGCTTTCGTAACGTAGCATAAGACAATGTTCGCTAAAGGTTAAGGGTACGGACTTATGAACGTACTTGGAAAAGTGTATCTACACAAATTCGAGACATAAAAAAATATCCTACCCTTTTGAAAAGATGTTATAAGTTAAGGGTAATAACTTTAACTCTAATGATAACGTTATGATGCCCTTTTGAGGTAAGTTAAGGATCCCTGAAATAAGGTAGCTCAAGTGATTTCTGGCTGTTTTTTCTTTGTACTTTTTCTTGACTTGACCATGCTGGGTTGCATCAAATATGACTGAGACTTGAAGTTTGTGACGCCTGGCAAAGAAAGTCGTTGGCAGAGATGGACTGGACCCACGGAGCGCCATGGACGTGCTACGGCTGGCTACCGATGCACTGTCAATCTACACTGTTACAGTGAATGAAATTTTATGACATTTGTGACATTAGTTTTCAGCAAACGTACATTACATTGAAATGAAAATTTCATGGCATCAGCCATTTAATAAACGTTTCATAACAAGTGAAGGACGGTCTCACTCTATTCGACAAGCGAGAGACATTCTGGTTTAGGCCAGAAACAGTGTGACACTTGCAGCGTGTCCATCCGCCAGAGTGGCCGTGGGATGTCCGGTAGATTGCGCGGCTGTGCCGGTGCATTTGGTGCCAATCAGTGGGCCTAATCGTCGCCGTGCACGTATGAACCACCTGGGACCGTTGACGGCCGCCGAGGCCGGGGCAGTGCGTGGCGGGGCCGTCGCACGGTGGGCCAGTAGGCCCGTGGAAGCGGTCAAAATCCCGGACGCGTTTTGAGCTCAAGGGTCGCTAAAGAGGGCTCGAACCGACCGTGTGACCCCATCAATGGATTCCTCGTTCGGAGAGCAATCCAGTGGTGGGGTCACACGCCCGGTTCGAGCCCCATTTAGCGACGCTTGAGCACAAAACGCGTCTTGAGTTTTGTCCGCCTCCACCGGTCTTCTGGCCCACTGTGCGTTGAGCCGCGACGAGCGGGAACGGCCGCGCCTCGAATACGGGCCGCCGGGCTGCAGCCCCACGGGGTCCACAAGCTTTTATACCTGCACACTTTAACCCCCACCCCCTCCTCCCCGCCCCACTTTGTATGGCAGCTTAATACAGGCCGATAATGTCCCCCCCGTTCCGTCAGAGAGAGGTTACGACCTGTGTAACGAAGGCTCATTTTGATGAATGCGCGAGTGAAGCTGTTTCCGAGGGTCGTGACGCCCTGCACTGTAAATGTCGTACGGTGAAAGGCTGCACCAACATTTTATGGGGAAGATATTTTCCATGATACCAACGAAATTCGTCGAAATGTATATAAGGTACAGTGCATTCTCAATGGTATGTGGTGAAGTCAGCTGCACCACCATAATATGAAACATGTTCACTGTAGAACATTAAGAGCGAGGGGGTATTCACTCGAAGTATTCTCTGTACACGCCGGGATATTCATATTCATATTCATAATATTCTGCAATATTCATGCGTCTTCAGGTATTCAAAAAATATTCATGATATTCACACATATTCGGAATATTTTGAGGTATTCACCTGTATTCATAGGTATTGAATAGTATTCAGGATGTTTTGCATAAGGTTTGGATGACCTACGAGCGTTTGAGTGCCCTAATTCCCACGTTCCCCAAATTTAAGCGTCTCGTGCTGCCACGGGTTGGCTATGTCGAGACCATGACGGGGGGCTGGCCCGAACTGGTGGTGCGTTTCCTTGGCACCATCACCCCTTCCACCACCCCGCTGCTGATGCTGCTGGAGATGCCCGGTTCGGGCACCATCACAACAGCACTGAGTAACTCACGAATACACTGACACTCCCAGGAGCTTGAACTCATTTCAGTACATACCTAAGCATGCCTGGCAATATAGGGCGACGTTTAAATCGAAGATGAACAACGAGACAAAGAGCACTGTATGGCAGTAAAAATAAGCAAAGCGTATCACTGTGTAGTGTCAAAGTTACATTAACCTCTGAAATAGCCCCATAATGTCAGGGCAGACACGTAGAAATTATTTCAATGCACTGTGACTCAGCAGGAACAATATAGGTCACATTTTGTCTTTTTTTTTAGGGGGGGGGACAGTGAAGTTTTTGAAGTTTAACGGAGTCTTAGGAAGCCATCTCCAATATTTTTTTGGCAGTTAGAGCGCTTCTTTGCGGCCCTTGATTGATCCCATTATGGTTTAAAAGTAATTTTAAAAACGGTCTTATTAGTTGAAAACTTTCTTTCTCGTAGAGACGGGGGGTCTCAGAAATTTCTTCTCACAATATTGAAGCGTTTTAAGTGCAAATTTCATGATATACATTAGATATTCATGATATTCACAAATATTCACCAGTATTACCTCATATTCACTAGTATTCAGACGAATATGTGTATTCAACAATATTCTTGGTATTCACGGATATTCACACATATTCATATTCTCTGTACACGAAAATAGCGAGTGATTACCCCCTCGATTAAGAGTGTAGTGTGCTTGAAGGTTGTCACCATCGGTGGAGGTTGCCTCTCAAGAGAAAGGTCACTATAAAATAAAAAAATAAGTGTGAAATTGACATCATTGCCGACGGTCAAAGTAAGCGTTTCTTGACATCAAGTTCGCGACAGATCACATCCTTTCCATGATATGATGCAACTTCGACATAAAATACCCGGTCAAGTTTGGGTTATGATGCAGAGCGTGACTAAATATCATCAACTTTACCCCACTTGACGTCAACAAGACCTTTTTTTCTGGTTCTTTGGCTGTCCCTCCTCACATGAGAGTGGGTGAACGTCTTCAGGAGCTCGTTACGTAATTTTTTCATCTCTGGTTCGGTCCGGCGGCGCCAGGCGTGGCCCTTCACAAGTCAAGGCTTCTCTTTCTCGGGGTGCGGTCCCCTTCGCAGCGAGAGGCTCGGTCAGCACGAGGCTTTATCGTCGGCTGAGCATGTTCCTGGCGCTCCACACGAGTCTGCCCGCAGTCAATGTCCTCACCGCCGGGCGACGCCTTAAGCCCGGCCGGCACACGGTGGGCCAGAAGACCGGTGGAGGCGGACAAAACTCTAGACGCGTTTTGCACTCCAGAGTCGCTAAGTGGGAGTCGAAGCGAGCGTGTGACCCCACCAATGGATTCCTCGTTCGGAGAGCGATCCATTGGTGGGATCACACGTTCGGTTCGAGGCCTGTTTAACGACTCATGAGCTCAAAACGCGTCTAGAGTTTTGTCCGCCTCCACCGGTCTTCTGGCCCACCGTGCGACACCCTCGCCACCCGTCCGTGGCGCTGGCGGTGAAAGGGACGGCACACTGTAAAAAATTTGTTCGTAAATTTACTAACAAATCAGGGGTAATTTCGTTGCACGAATTATTTGTAAATATACAACGTTTTTATGTTTATATCGATTTATGAATTATTCTTCACGCAGTAGTTTGTAAAATCACAAACTTTTTTACAAGTTCCAATTTATGTGGACCGCTTTTGTTCAACATTGTCACGCTGATTAAATGAAGATAAACTTGTTTCAGCGGATTTTTTTTGTTCTATGAAACATCTTGTAGTTCTATGAAATATCTTGTAAAATGACGAAGGCATCACCCTATTTCGTAATTTTACAAGCGATTTGTGCAACGAAATTACCCATGGATTTGTAGTAATTTTAGGAAACATTTCATATTTCTGTGACCTCACTGTAGTATTATCGTCACTTTTGAGATGTATTTAGTTCGTACCATTTCATAATGCGGTGTTCACAAACAAATTTCATACAATTAAGAAGATTTCTGTGATGAATAATCCATAAATCGGCCTTTACAAACAAATTTCATAAAATAACGAAATGTTATTGTTACTTTACAAGGAATTTGTAAAATAAAATTTCGTAAATTCACAATAATTTTTTTACAGTGCAGCACGCCGGGGAAGGAGAAGAGGGAGTCTCGTGGCAATGAGTGCCTTTGCTCAGTCCGCATCCGCCGAGGGGGAAACAACTTGAACTTTGGTGTAAGTTTCCCTTGAAACAACGTTGAAGTAACGTGAAATATAGAGTATAGAGCAGTCAGTATCCGCTGTACCACACGTTTAAAAAAATAAATTATTTTATTGCTTGTTAGTTAAAAACAGCGTGAGCACCTCATTTCAAGACAGTAGTATCATACGCACAAGTCGTGCGACTCATTCCGGAAACGAGGATTCTTGCTGGGAAACTTTTGCAAGTGGGTGGTGCCGGCATAGAAGAGAGCGAAAACAATCTGCGCGTCGGGTCCCGGCCGCCGCGTCCCGACCCTCAAATCCACTTAACCACATCCATCAGCCGCCGCAAGCCCCGCAAGCCGCGGGTCCGAAGGTGCTTGGCCGAGGGGCTTTCTTGTTTGTGGCTTCCCGCCCACATCCGTTGCCTCTGCAGCCCGAGGGCCGTTTCCGTCGCTCTGTCCCTCTCGCACTCACGGGTCGTCCCGCAGAGGTGCGAGAGAGACAGAGCGACGAAAAGGACTCTCGGAACCAGGCTGCTGCGGCCCGCCGCCTGGACCGCAGGGTTCAGCTACCCCTCCCGGTACTTCGGTCCAGCTCCCCGGCAAAAGTTATGAGGCGTTTTCCGAGAATCGTAGTGTCACCAGCCACGCCCCGAAGTAGAGATAGGAAGATTATGCTTTCGCATAATAGCATAATTTCTTAAAAAGCATGTTACAGAAACGGGAACAACAATTTTGGCACCCCCATATTCTCCCCATTCCGAAAATATAAAGCATAATAAAGCATAATTTGCAAAAAACGCAGCATAATGCCTAAATCGCATAATCAGGGCATAATTGAGCCAAATTTCAGTCGCGGCGGGCTTAAACGACCTTAAAATGTTGTTTTTTCGGGTGGAAATCACGAAAAGGGGCTTGGTTTTGAATTTGGCGCGACTCCGTGGTCAGCGCCTTGTCGAAATGCGACGCGGGACTAACTGGGGAGGGGAGGGGGCGTGGAGTGGCGTGGAGCCCAGGCAGTCGTTGTGGGCGTGTGTTAGGTGAGACATGTGTGGCACTGGGGCGCATCAACAGCAAGAAAATGAAGAAAGCCGTGACAATGACGGTCTCAAAGCGGGCCTACGATTACAGCAAAGAAGGAATGTATGTTTTTGATAAGAAAAAAGCTATCATGTACTGTCGACATTGCGGGGTGCGAGTAGACTGGGAGAAGAAAAGCACCGTTGAAAACCACTGCAGTTCCAACAAGCACAAGAATAATGTGAAAGAAGCTAAAGAAAAGGACAAGAAACGACAGGGCTCGATCAGTGACTCATTTGAAAAGTCAAAGAAATTGAAGGACGACAGAGAGGAGTTTATCAAGTCCACCGTGCACGCTTTCACGAAGGCGAATATTCCCCTGCACAAGTTGGGCCACCCGGCCATTAGAAAGTTTTTCAAAAAATACATTCCTGGTGAGTGTCAACATTCAATTTACCAATTTCTATTCATTGCTAATTTTATATAAACTCTCGCCGCATAAACTTCAGTATAGTGATGCTTCTATTCACGGCCAGTTCGTACATGCGATGGACGACTAACCTCCTAACCTCAAACTTGTTTATTTTGCGTTTCAGGTGGTGGAGATCTCCCCAGTGTTAGAACATTGAGAGACAAGTATGTTCCGATCTTGAAGGCTGAATACGACGACACGATTAGGAAAAAACTTGAACTTGCCGTTCTTTGCGACGAGACAACAAACCGAAAGGGTGAGGCAGTCTTGGTGACTCTGTTGAAGTGCCTCCCATCTGAAACTGAACCAGAACCATTTATTGTCGTCGGCTCTGTCAAAATTTTGTCTGCATGTAACGCCGATCAGGTCTCTAAAGCAATAATCCAGGTAAATTTCATAACTATCTCTCTATACAAATATAGAAATTACAAATATAGAAATTTTACCTTTCACAATTTTTTTCTTATTTCAGACTCTTCAACACTACTTAATTGCACACGAGAACGTCGTGGCATTGATCTCTGATGGCGCTTCATATATGACACTGTGTGCTAAGCTTATAAAGGAGCTAGTAAATCCAGATCTAATCCATATTCAATGTTGGGCCCATAAAATGGACAAGGTGGTGAAAGTCTTTTCTGACAAGCTTCAACATCTGCATGAGTTTGTGATGAACACAAAGCAACTTTTCAAAAACACTAGAAAGAGAAAGCATAAGTATAAGCAATATTTGAGAGATAAATATTCATTCAGTAGGTTGAAGGATGCCAAACTTTTCCCCATCCCTGTAATGACTAGAAGGGGCTCCTGGAGAAAGTCAGTGCAGTATATTTCAGTATACTTAGAGGATATTGCAGACTATGCTAAAACTGTACCTGAAAATGAAGTGAAATCTGTGCAATATTTTAAGAAATTGAATGCAGAAGACCTTAAAGTCATAAAAACAGAGGCTGACTTTGTTGAAGAATATTGTGCTAGTGTGTGTGATTTAATATTGTATTTAGAAGGATCTCTCTATCCCATGTCTCATCTTGTCTACTCCAAAGTATCTGTAATTCAGAAGGTTTTTCATTTACTGGGATCTGCTAGTGATGTCAAGTCAGTATTATATAAAGAAACTAAAGCTAGTCTCCTGAAATTGTCTAGTCAAAAGCAAAAGGGTGTATGTGAAAGATTGAAAGCTGTAGCCAAAAAATGTGATGAAATTTTGTCAGATTATTTGTCTAATGATACTGCTAAAAATTTCTTCCAGGCCACCCAAACTTTGTTCAACCCAAGTAAAATTGTGGTAGGTTGTTCTGACAGGGACTTTGAGAATGCCAAAAATAATATTCCCTTGTTGAATGTTATTCCCTTGGCTAATTTTAAAGTGTTGCATAGTCTGTTGACAGATGCTGTTAAAGAAGCTTTAAAGTCAGGGAAAAAAAACGATGATGTACTGAGTGATGCATTACTATCAATGAAAGGTGAACACCTAAAATTTGTTACATTGTGTTTGCAAGTTTTACACATTCCAGTCTCAAATGTAGACAGTGAAAGGGCGTTTTCGGCCTACAGTGACATCCTTAGCCCTAAACGATGCAGGCTGAGTGCTGAAAATGCAGAAATAATGATGTGCATGTACTTTAGCGATGACATAGATCTTGATTGTGATTCTGACACTTATGGTACTTCAACTGAAAACCATGATGAGCAAGAACAGGCAGCTGATGCTTGCGATGATGATGACAGTGATAACTGTGATAATCCAATGCTAATGGATTTTTAATGTGTGCTGTACTGTGAAAATGTTACACAACTTGTGTAGTGTAACACAAACACAAATGTCTTTGAATTAATGTGACTGTGTGTAATTACCTGAATAAAAATTTTGTTGTGAATTCAAGCGATTCTGTACATAATTTCCACTACCACATGTTCAAAATGAGACCAATTCTTTTTTATTTTAATTTAAACCATTTTTAACCAGTTTTTCGCAAAAAAAACCCCAATTTTCGGACAAAAAGCATAAAAACGCATAATTTGGCCGAAAACAAAGCATAAAAGGCGCATAATTGAGCCATTTTGACAGCATAAAGAGAGCATAATTGGCTAGAAATTCAGGGCATAATCGGGCTTTTCTGAAGGGGGCGCTGCGACAGACATACTTTTTGACACACATAACCGGATTCAGTCATAGACTGCGACAGACATAAACATTTTATTTTATTTATTATTTTCCTAAATTAAAATTAAAACAAAATTTATTTCGCGACACACATACTTTTTATTCAGAATTAAAGTTCTGTTAACACACATAAAATTCTTTACACATACCTTCATTACACATACAAGTCGTCATACATATAAAATGCATCAGACACACCCCGAGTTCGCGCGCGGAGTATCGCTGTCCCACCTTCCACTGTGCCTTCGCGGACGGCCTGCCTGACCTGCAGTCTGGCGGTCCTGTAGTGCACACCCCTGTAGTGGACGGCCTCGCCTAGTACGTCCAGCTGGGGCTGCCGAGCCCGTGCGTGGCCGAGGACGTGGTCGACCGCGGGGAAGCCGTGCATGTGGTGGCCGCGGCCGTGGGCGTGGGCGTCAAGAGTCCGACTCTGAACCCGACGAACTGCCTGAAGAGTCGGACGCGGGGCGACGGCTGCAGCAGTTGCAAGACGCCGAAGTAGCTTGTCCCATGTGCAGGAAAGAGATTCTTCTCATGATGGAGATTTTTTATTAATTTTACCTGTTGGCCTTTCTTGTCAGCCTTTTATGTGTGTCGCTGGCGACTTTTATTTCCATTTGTATTTCTATATTTTAAAATTTAATTACAAAATTCAACCTATATGTGTGAAAAATAGTATGTGTAATAAAGTTATGTGTGTATCCAGTCACAACAGTCTACTTATTATAAATTATATGTATGTCGAAAGTTATGTGTGTCGCAATTTATATGGCGGTACAGGTATGACTGAATCCGGTTATGCGGGTTGAAAAGTATGTCTGTCGCAGGCGACTCTTTCTGAACGCATAGTTTTCCTATCCCTACCCCGAAGGGGATGGAGAGGATAGAATTCTAAAACTAAGGACAGGAGATAGACGGCTGCTTTAGACTCTCTGGTGTCCTGCTGCCATTTTACGAGCCATTCGTCAGGATTGCCCATCACTTTCACGAAGGCATCGCTCGCTGACGACGATTCCGTCTTGAAATCCCTTCAAGGGGTCGTCATCCCCCCCCCTCTCTCTCTCTCTCTCTCTCTCACAGGTCATTGGCTGGGCTGGCTAATAAGTCTGGCCGTCGCACCCGCTCAGCATTTGCTTGCGAACGTCTTGCTCTTCATGCATGGCTCGTCCAGAATATCGACCAACGCGTTATCTCTCGCCCCCCCCCCCCCCCCCCGCCACGCCACGCCACGCCGCCACGCCAGGCCCCTCGCGGGAACGCGAGTTTGACGTACCCGGCAGGCGCGGATCCAGGATGTTTGCAAGGAGGGGTTAATGCAGCGTGGCAAAACTCTAGACGCGTTTTGAGCTCCAGAGTCGTTAAACAGGGCTCGAACCAGGCGTGTGACCCCACCAATGGATTCCTCGTTCGAAGAGCAATCCATTGGTGGAGTCACACGTTCGATTCGGGTCTCATTTAGCGACTCTGGAGCTCAAAAGGCGTCCGGAATCTTCACCGCCTCCACCGGTCTTCTGGCCCACTGTGGGCGTGCTAGAGGCAGCGAGGGGGAGGAAAGGGGAGGGGGAGTCTTTCGAAAGCAGGCGATGGCGATGAATGCCATGTGGCTACAGCGCGGCTGGTTCCCGGACTCAATAATTCCATTTATATCAGCCATTAAAGGTTCCACGCCCCGCTCTCCCACAAATGATCCCGGAAATCCCCGCTGAATTGTAGATAATCTTCGGGAAAAAAGTGCAAAAAAAATCCAATGTCTCCGGTTTTGCAAGAGTTTTAGGCAGATAATTTTTTGGAAAAATGAACCGCGGCCCTTCAAAATCCCTCCCTGACAGAAAAAGGAAGCTTCTTGGGATTTTCCAATTTATTTATTTTTTACAGTGCGCAGCAGGGGGCGCTGCGGAGCCGCCGCAAGAAACTGTTACATTAGGCTGTAAAAAGGTGTCTGGCGGACTAATTTGGATGCGGGGAGGCTCCCCGCCGCTTGGGCTCGGTTCACTCTGGGGTCGAGGCCCTTCCCTATTGAATGTAATTAGTTGTTAGACACTTAGAATGAAACTTAAGTGCGTCTTTTTGTGAGTGGCGGCTCGGACGCGACGCGACGGACTAAAAGAAATGTGCGCATCAACTCACTGTGAAAATTGATGACCACTTCAGAGCTGTTTTTCCTAGAGAAAGTTGAAACCTTGTTGATGGCATGTCATTGAGAAAGGGGTAGGATCTTTGATGACAATTGATTCTATTTGTGATGGAATGACCATAGTTATTAATTGATGAAACTCATCCACGATTTTGAGATGAAATTGTGACAAATTCTCACAGTGCTAAATATTTTGAATACAACTCTTTTTAGTATATGTAGTTTAATGGTTGAATGAAACATGCTTCGTTTCGAATTCTTAAGATTACTAAGTTACTTTCTTCCGATCGTCTTAGATTCACTTTACTGCTGTCTCAAGGAGTGTCTACGGGCCGCACGCTGTGTAGCAGGGCAGTCACGGAAATGGCGTTACTGCCTTCCGGAATCGCCTCTGTTGGCCACTGTATGGCCCAATGAAGAGAAAACGTGCTGGCTGGCGTCACTAAAACGACCGCAGCGGCTTTGGTGGGCAGTGTATTGAACTCCTCGTGGTTGGCTGAAACAATATGTAGCTGCATCACTGTAAGAAAAAGTGTGAATAGTACAACAAATGTACAACAAAATCTTTACAATAAAAGTACAACAGGGATTGTAGAAAGTACAACGAGAATCGTACAAACCACTGAAAACGTAATGGTCGGACACATAGCCAAATTATGGCGTGACAAAAAGTCACGACAAAAATTGGCGAAACACGAAATTCACGCCGAAAAACGGCGTGACATGTGAGTCACACCCTCATTTGGCGTGAATGACAACGCGTTTTATGAGACAAGTCACGCCAAAAAGCGGCATGACAAGAAATTCACGCCAATTTTTGGCGTGAATTTTTTAGTCACGCCGATTTTTGGCGTGACTTTTCTGTCATGCCGTTTAATGGCGTGACACTTAATTCACGCCTCTGCAGCGGCACGAAGTCACGCCGATAGATTTTCAGTGACCACAACGAGGCCTGGACTGCACAGCACTCATCATGCCGGTTCCATTGTACTTTCGTACAACAATTGTAGGACAAGAATACAACTCATGTTTAAGAACTTTGTTTTTCTCAATTAATCAAAAACTACGTACGAAGTTGTTTAGGGACACTCTGCGAGTTCCGTTTAATCAGTTCCAGAGTATAGGACAATCCGAACGGACGTTCATTTGGCTAAGGAGGGATTACCTCTTAAATCTCTTTGCAGACCGGAATAGTGTCCGGGCATCACTGCAATCCCGCACTTTTGTACGGAAAGTGTACAAAAGAGTACGCAAGCAAGGAAAATAAATACTGAATGCCAGCACTCGATATGATTTCATGAAATAAACGTGAATAGGAAAATGCACAAAAATTCTGTAGTTGGTTAGTACACAGTGAAAACTCTACGAAGAATCGCTTCGTAATACGAAGAAAATGAAGGCATTGTAAAATCTACGAAGAAATGCTTCGTATTATGAAGCAAAATCCTTCGTAATACGAAGCATTTCTTCATAATACGAAGCAATTCTACAACGCCTTCATTTGCTTTGTAGTTATGAAGCAAATGATTCGTAGGCTTTTAAGAGTGTAGGGACGGTCCGGGCAAATTTTTGACCAGACTATTTTTGTACTTTTCCTGTTCCTGTTTTTTATTTCTGCCAGTGCTCCACGCGTCGTCGTCTCGTTGACCGTGGAAAGGAAGACCGATGCACTTTCCCGGCGCGGCCAAAGTGAAAAAGGAAAGGGCTAGCAGCTCTTCTTCTTCACATTATCCCAGCTCACAGCAGCAATCAACAAAAACGACACAATCACAGAGCAATCTTCCTTACTTTCACGCCGAGCCGAGACGCTGCCTCTACCCGCCACCCCTCCTCCAGACGGACAGTGATGAAGCGTCCGCAAGCAACGTGGTGGTCGCTCCAACCACACCAAGCACCAGCCGGGTGAAGGGTTTTACTTTCGGGAGAAAGGCAGACAACAGCGGCATGAATACGCTCAGACCTTCGCAACATTTGAATAAACAAGTCGGATGATGACAAAGCGTTTCTGCTCTGTTACAAATAGTCTTGAAAGCTCCTGGAGAGTGAAACAAAATTGCTAGAGATCTGAAAACTTCACTGGTTGCCAACGAATGTGGCGTCATATTCGTTGGAGTGTGAATATTGTCACGTTCCTTTGAATATGATGTCACATTCGTTGGAGCGTGACTCGGCCGTTTAAGTAGGATGTCACATTCATTTAGACGTGGATCAACATTCAAACGAACGTGACATCATATGTTCAAACGAATGTGACATCATGTTCAAACGAACGTGACAAAATTCTCATTCGAACTAATACTAAGTCACATTCGTTGGCTTCCAGTGTTCTATTTATAGCCTGGAACGAGTTGACGCCTGATGGTAATTATTATTGCAGTACTACAAATTTGATTTTTTTTTTAAAAAAAACCTCTTTTTGAAATCCCCGATGAACATTATCAAACGGATTGTCCGGACAACCTTCGGGCTTCTCCAAATTATTTTTGACACTGTTTCGTGATCCCTTCGGCAGTCCCCGACTCGGGGGGTAACCCT